AAAAAGTTAAAATTACAGATAGGTTTCGAACCGGGGACCTCTCGCATATCAGTCGAGCACTCTATCCACTACACCACGAACACTGATGGCTGAACATCGTATCATTGTGGTAATGGCGTTCCGGGACCCTCTACCGGACACCTAATCCACGTCTGGTTACCGGACGCCTAATCCACGTCCGGTTACCGGACGCGTATCCTCTGTGTTTGTAATTTTAGTGATTTTAAAGTTTTTAGTAATTTTGTGTATAGGTGTGTAGACATGGGGACCATGTCTCCCGGAGGAGGGGGCATGTGATGGTAGGACGACTTTATTTTTTGGGGAAGTATGTAATTTAATAATAAACTTAAAAATTCATATTGTAAATGATTTTCAATCAATCAAACAATTGTAGAAGTATCAGTTACAGCAGTTGGTTGTGTAAAGTAGATTGCTGAGTGTAAGCAGTTTTGTGCTGCTTCTTGCATTCAGTAGGTTCAATACCCAACAAATTGCTGATTATGGCCTTACCCTCTCTCTTTGCAGCCAAATTGAAAGTACCATCGGTGGTAGACCTTTTACCAATAACCCACTCTTCCTTAGGAACCAGCGCCGGCTGGCCAAGGTAAGGCCGTTATACTCTTTTAATATTTTTGGACTTAGAGCACAGATAGATTTGAAATACTAATAAAAAAACACTTAATACTTGTCATATTAAATTCATATTTTTAATAACACAGAGTTATTTGAAATATTATATATAAATTTACCAATTTCTATTGCCTCTTTGGTTGAATAGTTATTTTGAGAATAATAACATAAACAATTATATTTGATTGGAAATCATATTTTGTCATTTAGTATTTGCCATTCATTGTTCTTGATATAATATCTATATTCTATTTTTCCCTTTATCTCTGTAATTATAAATAATACTTGTGTTGACAATATAATATAGAATTTTGTATAATCGAATCTCGAGTACCTTTCTTTGTGCTCACTGCCAAGCGAGCTCACCCCCCACAATATATTATATAATAATAAACATCATTTAAAAGAAGTAACCCATAAAAACCAACCGTTACAACGTCAAGAGCAAGAACTTAGCAAGCCGACACAGTCAGTTATAAGACTAACTAAGGACATCCAGAAGAGTAATAATAGGAATGTAACAGCTGACAACTGGTTTTCCAGTATTGAGACTGCCGAAGCTTTGTATAAAGAGAAGTCTAACCTATGTGGGAACAAAGAAAGAACAAAAAAATCATACCTTCTGAATTTCTTCCAAACATAGATCGGCAAGTAATGACTACGCTGGCTTCAATGGTCAATATAATATCATGTCTATGGTAGCTAAACAAAACAGCATCATGACAAGGAGATAAACCCAGACAAGAACAAACCGGAATCGTGTGTTTTTATAATAATAAGACAAAGTTGGCATTGATCTACTGGATATGAAATTTGCAATCTACGATTCAAACCGGCGCACTCGAAGATGGCCACTGGCATTGTTTTTCAGGGACCTGCCCTCACTATAGCCAGTGTAAACTCGTTTAAACTGTACATGTGCTACAGTGGTTCCCGTATCATGACACGATTCGAGTTTGTGAAGCAGCTGGCTCAAACCCTTGTGGAGCCCCACCTGAGGCGACGTCTCACGATCCCCCAGCTTCGTTGAGACATAAAGCAAGAAATAAATAAAGTGCTCGTTGAAAATGAACCAGAAAGGCAAGTTGAAGTAATTCCTTCAGATAAAATGGAAAACAGGAAGACGTGTGGGAAGTGTCTGTCAGCAAGGAGAGGAAGACACAGTACAGTAAGTGTTTTTAGTGTCACATACCAGTCTGCCTAAAATGCACTCAAAAAGTCTGCGTGGACTGTGCTCAAGAGATTGTTTGACCAAGAAACATTTACAGTTGACATCTCTATAATACAATCACCAATCATAGTCTTTTCGTAAACGTTTCTTACGTATTTAACTGTTAACACTTTTTCCAACAATTCTTTGATTTCTAAAAAAAAATATTCTTTAAGTTATATAATAGGCCTAATTATGTCACATATATAGATTTTACAATATACAGGGTGTCACAAAAAAGTGTGATGGGCTATACAGGACCTAATTCTACATGCAAAAATAAGTCAAAAATGAAGAATAATTTTTTTTGTATATCGGCTTAGTTTAGCCGTAATCCGCCATTTTGTTTTTTGGGGAAAATATTTATTATTTCAAAATCCCTTTGAGATATTTTACGAAACTTGGCAAAATTGTTTACACTATAGTAAGTAACATTTATAAAAAAAATTATTATTTTAACTTTCCAAATTTCAAAATGGCGGCCGTTTGAATTTTTTAATGCCAAATTTCATGAAAACCGGTACCTAAATCAACATTTTGTAAGATACAAAGGTTTTAGTATTTATTATGACAAATCCAACAAAACAAAAATGAATAAAATCGGTTCATAATTAAAGAAGCTGTGTTTATTTTAGTAATTTAGACTGAAATTATTAATATTAAAATGTATTAAATGTAATGTAATAATTTATGTAACGTATTAAGTAATTTCAGTCTAAATTACTAAAATAAACACAGCTTCTTTATTTATGAACCGATTTTATTCATTTTTGTTTTGTTTGATTTGTTATAATAAATACTAAAACTTTTGTCTCTTACAAAATGTTGATTTAGGTACCGGTTTTCATGAAATTTGGCATTAAAATATTCAAACGGCCGCCATTTTGAAATTTTGAAATTTGAAATAATAGTTTTTTTTTATAAATGTTACTTACTATAGTGTTAACAATTTTGCCAAGTTTTGTAAAAATATATCAAAGGGATTTTGAAATAATAAATATTTTCCCCAAAAACAAAATGGCGGATTACGGCTAAACTAAGCCGAAATCCAAAAAAATTTATTCTTCATTTTTGACTTATTTTTGCATGTAGAATTAGGTCCTGTATAGCCCATCACACTTTTTTGTGACACCCTGTATAGTATATACCTATGTAGGCTAGTAAAAATTTATCAATATTTATTTGTTTTGATTTAATAATCCATTTGGTAAATGCATAGAAATCGTTAAAAACGGTATTTTAGACGCATTTGGTTCTGAGACCAGGTGGCTCTATCAACGTCATAGATATCAAGGCTCCGTAAAGGTTGATTCACACACATCAGTTACGGCACGTCACATTTAGCAAAAATATTCTTTAATGGATTTTCTATTGCACTATCTACACTCATCCGTCCCAGTCCTGTCAGTCGCTCTGCCGGTGCCCACCAGTCTATTTCAGATTTCTTTTTACCGATATTTTTGGATTGGTCGGATGCCTGACGGACGTGTTTGAGGTTAGAAAACAGTGTTTTTGTTATTTAAATGATTGATTGTGTTTATATTTTGAGTAGGTAGGCCTACTGTCTGTAACAATCAACAAAATGGATGATGAAAATTTGATAGAATATAGGTTTATAATTTAAAATTTTTGACTGTAACTTAAATTACTGTAAATATTAGAGACGGAAAGACTGACTGAAACCAACTGACGGACTGTTGACTGCGGAATTTCGGATGCAACTGGGACTGAACTGTAACTAGACTGTAACAGAACTCATATGTGTGAACAGGGCCGCCCCGAGGGCAGGGCGAGCGGGGCGACCGCCCTGGGCGCCGCAGCTAGGGGGGCGCCGCGGCTTTGGAAGGTAAAAATTTAACAACCTTATCGGCAAACCGCAAACAAATATTTTACCAGAAACTCGCAAACATGTAATCAATGACAATCACTATAAAAAAAGGCAATCTATAGCTTTCGTTTTATTCATATTATTTAATATACAACGCATACTATTACTACTTTTACGTCTGGCATGTGACTTAAAAATTGGCAATACTGCAAGTCCAAGACACTCACTGCGTATTCGCGACGCCCCACATACACTTGCTTGTTTCTAACCTCAAAGCTTAACAAACTCTCGTCAACTCATAGTCGTTTTGTGATGTCCGTTGTCAGTCGTAGCATAGATAAAACATAGTATGTTTTATCTATGGTCGTAGATTCAATGTTTTTTAGTAATTTAGTTTAGTTTAGTTGTTACATTTATAAAGAATACTATGCAAAACGCTCGATATTGATATATCGGATGTTGGGTCTAATGACGGTTGACGCAAACCCCCCAAATACCTTTTTTGGAGAGGGGCGAAAATTTAAATCTCGCCCCGGGCGTCTATTACCCTCGGGGCGGCCCTGTGTGTGAATCAACCTTAAAGGTGTTAAAATATGATCTTAAGACAAAAATGTTTGGCTAGGCTACTAGGAACATTAACGCAGATTGAAACTAGATTTTTTCAGCGAGTTTAGTGGGATTGGGGTACAGTCTCTTAAACTGGGCTACGGTATGCTAATATCGATTGAAACTATGGATTCGATTAGTAAACCTTCGTGCGATTTTTTCACCATCAGCAAGTTTGGTTGGTTAGGTTATGATAGTTTTAAGTTATTTGATAATAAATATATTTAAAAATATCGATTATTAATCAATATTTTCAATTCGATATTAGCATAACTTAGTCCAGTTAAGAAACTGTACCCCGGGATTGTTTTGGTTTTATAAAAAAACTGATCATAACTTAGACCAACAACAAAGTTAGACCTAGGCCTATAGCCAGTTAGACTGAGTAAAATCACGTGCAGCTTGGAAATGAAATGAAATGCTTTATTGTCGTTCAAACTGAGTACAAAGTTCATGACAATCGTCAAAAGAAAAAGAAAACAATCAAGAATCAAGATGGCAACTAAAACTAAAACTCTAAACCAAAGTACTCTTCATGTTTATACAGACAAGCCTGGGTTAGAGTAGTTTTTAAAACATGTTTAAATTTTGAAACACACAGGTTTTCACAGGAACATACTTTTGGTCGACATGACTTTACTTAGAATAACATGAAACCAAGTCAATAGTTTAAGCGGCATAACCTATAAACAATAAATGAAATGCATGTAGGTAACTTAGGCCTACCTTGGTACGTTAAACGTGATGTTTTCCTAAGGTTTTAACGAATTAGTTTTTAACCTTAGAGTAGGCAAGAAGATTACAATCAAAATTGAGATATAAAAGTAGACACTAGACAGAGCGAGAGGAGGACAAAAAGTGAGATTTGACTGTTTTGATTTGAAGTTGACATTCCATTCAACTTCCAAAATTCCCTCCTTCCCTGCTGCAGCTGGCGGCATACGCTCACGCTGAGTCGCTGACCGGACCGGCTGGGCTGAGGCTGACGCAGACGCAGACGCAGACGCTCCCTCTTCCATTCCTCCCCAAGTTCAAGTTCCCTCTTCTTTGTTCTTTCTTTTTTCTTCTTGTTATAAAAATCAAACGTTCCTCTTCTTCATTTTGCATAGTATTGAAAATTTAGAATTTATCACTGATTAAACCTACTCAATGAACGAACTTGGCCATAAAATTGTAAAACGAATATTTTTTTGTATGTTACGAAAATTTAATAACACTTTATTAATGTAAGTATTTCTACATTATTATGCCTATTTTATATCATTAGCTATAATTTTCAACGTTTAATCTAAATACGTCAGGTTTGGGCCCAAACACGGCCGCCTTTAACTACAGGCCGCGGCCTTCGAACTGGCAACGTCGCAAGTGGTGTTGTAACAGCTGTTTTTGTTTGGAAGCAGCTAATGGTATTTGTCACATTTGTGTATTTACGAAAGATTGGTTACTGGACTATGACAATATTGACTCCGCTTAATAATGTACAGATATGGATTTTAATTCATATTGTTTCGGTTTTCAATTCTGTGGGTTTTATTTTCAATATTTTAAATATTTTAAATCAATCAAGTGCGAATTAATGAGCTGATGTCACCTGTCTGCCATGTTATCTTATGGGACGTCTGTCGCTGAACAACACCACTTGCTACGTTGCCAATTCTACCAGGCCGCAGCCTGTAGTTAAAGGCGGCCGTGGCCCAAACCACGGGCACCTCAGTCGCAGTCCGCAACCTAGTAAAATTTGCCAGGTCGCAAGAAGTTTGGTTTAGAGCCAGACATCCGAAGATCTTACATTACAGACAGGTGGCGTCCGCTAGTTTAATTGCGTTTTAGTCTATTCTATGTGGTGTTACAGTATTCATATTCAAAGTCTGAATCTGAATCAATCTTTATTGCCTAATGTAATAGACAGAGTCATAATGGTTGTAGGCCTACTACTAATCCTACTAATATTATAAATGAGAAAGTTTAGATGTATGGATGTATGGATGGATGTATGTTTGTGACAAGTGAACGCGAAAAATACTGGTCGGATTGGGCTGAAATTTGGCATGATGATAGCTCACATTCCCGATTAACATATAGGCATATTCTTATTTCAAAAATCCTTTCGGGCTCCGCCCCAGCGGCTCTGGAGTTTCCCATGTTAACCTTATGAGAAATGGAATTATTGAATCTTAACAGCTGTTTCAATTAAACAAGTTGGTTCTGTTCTGTGATGTTCAATAGCATTCAATACCAACAGGGTGCAGCACTATTTTTCTTTTACATTTATGACAACAGCTAATTTGCAACCAAAAGGTGAGTGAGCGTAGCGAACGAATTTCAACCTGGAGGCGAGTTAGCGTAGCGAACGAGCTAACCTGAAGGCAAGTGAGCGCAGCGAACGAGCTCCAACCTAACGGTGAGTGAGCGTAGCGAACGAGCTCCAACCCAAAGGTGAGTGAGCGTAGCGAACAAACTTCAACCAGGACGTGATTGAGCCATGCGAACGAGATAATCTTGAAAATTAAGAAGTTAAACGGGGCAAAGCCCGCGGGTTACAGCTAGTACAATATAAGTTATGAACTTCAAAACAGTAGACAAACTTAGGGGAAGGAAAGACAACAGTAGTTGTTGGTAAACATTAAACAACAGTAGTGACAGTGTTGCCACTTCAAACACCGGGACCTGGAATTGAAGGTGGCCGTGTCCAAACCCCGAGAAAACCCGTTAAGTCAGTGTAATATTTCTTAAATTCAAAAAGAATATACTACGAGAGATGAAATTATTGGGAATATATCCAAAACAAACAAAAGGGGCTTGTCATGGCCACCTGTTTCTACAGTCCGCGGCCTGCCCATTTCATAATAAAGTACAAACTAATATTATTAGTAAATCAGCTGATTGCCCAATGCAAATCCAATGGAAATTACAAGTTACAAGTTGTAACTTGTAACTTGTAGTTTATTATGACCGGCAACGCCGCAAGTGGTGTTGTTTAGTGACAAACGTCCTATAATATAACATGGCAGACAGGTGACATCAGTTCATTAATTCGCACTTTGTTGATTTAAATTTAAATTTATGAACATAAATGTATTAAAATATTGAAAATAAAAACATACAGAATTGAAAACCGAAACATCATAAATTAATTAAAAATCTATATAATTTTAAGAAGAGTCAATTTTGTCATAGTCCAGTAACCAATCTATCGTAAATACACAAATACCATTAGTTGCTTCCAAACAAAACAGCTTTTACAACACCATACAACACCACTTGCGACGTTGCCACTTCGAAGGCCGCGGCATGGAGTTAAAGGCGGCCAAGTGATTTTGACGGTCTTTGATTTTAAGGAAAGAATCAGAATGTGAGCATTGTGACGCGTCCATTTATTTTTTATAAAATTCAGTTGTTCCTGTTCTGTTCACTTCAGTTCCTCTCGTTCTGTCACTCCGCCATTCGCCATTGCATTCATTGCAATTATATTTTGACCACTTAAAATACACTACACAGGTAATTCTGCTCTTTAGGAACGATTATTCTAGTTTATAAAGAAATAATGCCTTCCAAGCCTTTTTTATACTTAACATTATTCATTATATGCTAATGGTATTTTATTATTTATAAGACACATAGAGTAAACTCGGTCCTAATAAGCGGCGTAATTAACTTACGTAGGCCTACTCGTAATTAATTGGGCCTATCGCATTTTATCCACTGGATAGAGTGAAGTGTATTTTGATCAATAGAACTCTTATTTTTGCATCCCTGAGCAAATTCCTACATTTGTTACCACCTATTGTTTGTATTCGTTGTTTTTATATGTAGCCAAGGACTAAGTTTCTGCTTACCTTGTCAATCGGCATAGACACAGATGAATAAGTTCATATAGGCCTAAGTAGTTTTTTTGGCTGGATTAAATTTGCGAGACCTCAAATATGAGTAAGCCTAGGCCTAAAATAAAAAAAAATAAAATAGGAACTCATAGTAGGCCAAGTTAATTTTATTTTTAAGTCAGCCTAAGCTCCTACCCTAAGTTGACCCTAGGCCTACCAGTGGCCAACCGTCACCGCGTGACGGTTTTGTTTGTGCTTAGAATGGCCACAGAAATTGTTTTAACGGTAAAAAAACACAATAAACAACTCAGATGAGAACAATAATAAGTTACCAGATCACGTTCTGAACTTTCATTTTATTACTTCCTACATAAACAAACCCCCTAGTAGCAGGTAGGTATAAGTTATAACAATGTCATGACGATTAGAAATCAAATTAATTTTTGGCGCGGCTCGACTTTTGCAGCCGACCCATGGGAACTGACAAAACACGTCTTGTTTGGCATTACCCTGCTCGGGTCATTTTCGGCTTGGGATGTTGCGGGTGGTACCACTAGATAGCTATTGATTTTATCTTCATTGTGGTATAGTGATATTTAGAACTAAATATTGATTGGACAACCGGTACGATTTTATGAAAACAGTTGTTTTCGAAATTTATAACAAATGGCCAACCATCACAAGGTGATGGTATGGAAAATACAAATTAACCCTAGCAGTGGCCGATCGACTCCCGGTGACGATCTGACGTTGATGCTTAGAATGGCCAACGACTCCTTGTGACGATCTGGGCCGAAAATTTTTTAGCGGTAAAAAAACACTTACAATCAACTCAGATGAGAATAATATATATACCATTCGAAAGATCACATTCTGAACTTTCATTTTATTACATAAACAAACTCTGTAGCAGGTATATAACAATGTCACGACGATTAGAAATCAAATGAATTTTCGACGCGGCACGACTTTTGCAGCCGACACTTGGGAACTGGCAAAACACGTCTTGTTTGGCATTACCCTGCTCGGGTAATTTTCGTCGTGGGATGTTGCGAGTGTTACCACTGGATAGCCATTGATTTTATCTTCATTGTGGTAGTAATATTTATAACGAAATATTGATTGCACAACCGGTACGATTTTATGAAAACAGCTGTTTTCGACATTTTTAACAAATGGCCAATCGACTCCAGATGACGATGTGGAAAATACGAATTACATACAGTGTAATTTATTATTACTAGTCATATAGTATATCATTTTGAAGAGGAAGAAATTTAGATTCAGAGAGTGGCAGCCCTGCACTCAGGGTTATTTCTGTATGCTCGCATGTAGACGATGGAAGTGAGTCATTACTGCTACAGTCTGTCAGCTGTCTTGTATTGCCATTGTTTGTTTGTGTTGTTGCCGGTAATAGTTTTATCCGCGATTTATTACTAAATATGTTATTAGTTTGTAGTGTTAGTGTTAGTGAAGTGTTGTGTGTGTGTATACCTAACAGTAATCTTCATGCATAAATATTACTGAATTGTGTGAAATAGTGTTCATAAAAGGTTGTATTTTGTTAGCATCATGTCCTAAAATGACGTTTCTGACATTCAGAGATTGTTGTACCTATATAATGATATACCCAAGGTGTTATACATTTTTATAAAGGTAAATGAATACACTACAACATGTTTATAATGGTTTGGGGGTAAAAAATTTTGTAAAAAAGTTATAGCCTATACTAAATAGGCCTACTACTGTATTTTGTTAGCATCATGTCCTAAAATGACGTTTCTGACATTCAGAGATTGTTGTACCTATATAATGATATACCCAAGGTGTTATACATTTTTATAAAGGTAAATAAATACACTACAACATGTTTATATTGGTTTGGGTGTAAAAAATTTGGTAAAAAAATTATATAGGCTAGGCTACATTTAAAAATAAATAAAGGTAGGATGTACTGTACACTCCATTTTCTCGAAATACGCAAAAAATTCAAAACGTTCTCAAATTGATACATAGCCTAATCATAGGTGAAAATAACTTTTTACCATCATACTTATGACTTTTGTGGATTCCTTATTTCATTAGCTTTACAAATATGTAGGCTAC